GCCTTATTATTCCGATAATTTTCAATACTTCGAGAATTACTGAAAAAAACTGAGAACAACAACGAGGACCTCCGGTAGAAAGACGACGCAACACAGTGAAACGACCAAGTGTCCTGCTGCGTTGTGTTAGACCCTATAGCTAGACGAGTCTCCATGCGAAGTCATTCATTTCTGTACATCCTGATGACGTCCCTACTTGTTTCCTGTTATGACTGCAGTTATAAAACTTGATTGAAGGATGACGGATCTCTAGAGACTTCAGGTGTGACAGCGAATTTTTACCCCAAATGATGTCATTTTGTACATGGACAGAGCAGAATGGCTATTTGCAGACAAAATCCTCATCTCCTTCAAATTACAGTCATTAATTCATTCAACAAAGTTTTCATCCGCAACTGTAACCTGTCCTGGGGAATGCTTTGCTTCCATGAACTTTGAAAAGACTTCCACCCACGAGTGATTTCGCTCAGGAACCTCTTGACTAATTTAGAACGCTTTTTCTGCGTGAAGTAGATGCCCCCAACTGTGGCGTGAAATTCTTGCTGTTGCTTTCTACAGCAATTTGTTAATAAGCATCTTCCTCCAGCCAACGAGCTCACTGTGAAGAACGAATGTGGCATGAATAGAGTATTTGGACAAGACTTAGTCGTGTGCAAGAGCTGGACAGTAAAAAAAATGTCAAAAACAGCACTCTACTGACACCATGTTCCGGGATTCCGGTTTCCGGGATGTATAATCGGAATTTTATGCTTTCGTCACATTATTCATTATCGTTACTCTCTACTAATATTTCCATGTCGATCATCCACTGTTGTTATTGTTGCGCTTTTGTTGTTATGTGATATATCGCGTAGCTTTCTGATCAGCTATTTGAATTTTCAACATAAGTGCTCCGCTGTAAATGGTGCATCCTCTATAAAGCCGTGAAATACGGTCACTTTTCTGTCCCTGGATACAATCTTCGAGCCTTCATAGCGCTGTATCTGATCCGTTATTTGACCCGCCACTGGTCCATGTGCTGATCTTAAGAGCCACAGATTCATCTTTGGCGAATCTCAGAAGCTACTTCCATTGCAAATTGAGCCTTTCTAGTTATCTGGTTTACTGGTACATCTCTATAATGATCTACAAAAGACTCGCTGATGTGCAGCTCCTTTACCTCTCGCAATCAGGTGAGACTGGTATCAATTCATTGAAAGACCGTTGGTCCAGAATTCGATCACTGACTCATACATGAGGCAAAGAGGATTTGATTCTACGCTACCTTCGCCTTGTTCAGGAGTCATGATCATCAGTCAGACTGACTCTTTATAAAGTTGAAGGCAGACACTGTGTGGCTCAGAATCTTCCTTAGTTCCAGAGCCTTGTCGAAGTCGATGAACCTACAGCATTCCTGTATGCCTCAAATATCCCCACCGATGTGTTGACGTGATTCGCCCAGAGTCCTTCTCCACACCCTTTTCAACCTGACTGTTCTACACCACCCAAATGGTCTACTGGTTCCCTTGAAGCTCATAGATTACGGAAATGAGGCAGAAGTGCCGATTGCCGGTGTCATGTGGATAACGACAATTTAAAATGCGATTGTTATGTACTGTTTCATTGTGTTCCTTATGGTATTGCTCTGTTTCATGTGACATTGTGTCACAACTGATTCCTAACAACGTATACGCCTAAACAGTAAACAAATTTAATGACCACATCAATTCGGTTACATTAATGGCTTCATTGTGTTACTCTATTAATCAAAATGTGTTGCCAATGTTCCAAACAACTTTAATAAGATTTTCAACGGTAATTGTGTATTACCAAATCTTTCGAGACAGTTTCCTTCTTCCGGTTTATAGAGTGAAATAATTATAATCTGATACGGCATGCCAACTTCACCCTAATCATCCTTCTATTCAGCTTTCATAGATATGCTGCCTAATCGCACAGAAAGCCAAAATTTCACCGATTAACAGCTCAATGGCAGATTTGCTGAATAGAATGGATGAGGGAGGGAATTCCTGCAGGAAGTCAATCATTTCTATAAGGTACCACCAGGAAAATCCATTCTGAACTGCTTAAAAACCCCCTTATAGTCAATCTTCACCGCTATTTGACTTGTACCAAGTTGGAACTACTGTATAGTGCTTCCAATTCAGGAATATTAGTAATGTTTTCGTAACGGACTCTGAAAAGTGAAGGAGGGGGCAGAAATCCGAACGTGACGCAGTATATATACTGCCCCACTTCATCATTAAAAGTGTTCGCTTCAGCACCTTCTTCTATTGCAACGTAGATGCTTTCTTCTAACAACGGACAGAACTCCCTCAATTTTAACATGGGAGCCATGTAATCGCCACCAAATTAGGGTTTTCTTCAATGATTGTTCGTGAAGATTCTAATCGCTATGCCCTTGTTACTCTGTGTTTGAATAAACTAACCAAAAAACTCTTACACTGCAACTATCCTTTTCAAGGAGAACGGCTATTACTCAGGCATTTTCCTAACCCATAATTAGTTCAGGCATTTTCCAAACCCATAATTAGTACAACAAATTTTGAAGACTGTAAGCCCTATTGCCTTGAATTTCTCTCTCCCCTCTCTTTCCTTCGTCCTTTCCTTCTTTCTTTTATTCTTTCTTTCTTTCTTTTTTACTTTCTTCTTCTTTTCCTTTCTCTCCCGATCTTCTTCACTCTTTCGTCCTCTCTCTCTGCCTCTATCTCTCTTTTTTTTGAAGAGGAATTGTTTAAAACTACTGCTGGCTGCAGTTCCTGCTAACAAAGTTGGGAGAGGATATAGTTTAGCTACTGAAACTAGTCAAAACCAAAAAAACGGGAAAGAACTCTCAGAATATAATATGACTATGCAGTTAGGAGAAACAATATCAAAGGTAGAACCTATAAAACCTCTTATGAGCCCGTTAAATCGCTAGTTCGATGGTGGAAATTGACCACTGTGTAGTACAATTGCAACGCCTGTAAACACCTTATTACTTCAAACGTAAACACCTTATTTCTTCGAACAAAGAACCTATTGTTAAGCAAAATTAACTCCTCATAGAGAAGCTAGTGACGATGTTCCACGCAAAGCATTGACGAAGACTCGATTGTTTACTGTTGAACAAACTTTACCCTTCCTTCCTCTCGACTCATGGAGGCCGTAGCTGTTAAGAAAACTTGAGAAAACGGCTAGACTTCTTCCGTTCTGAGTTCAAAAGCCTTTCTAGGAGGTGGGACGAGCCTGGATCCTGGGAATTTTTTCATCTCAAATGCGATGCAGTTCAAAGGAACTTATCGTCATTGACCTCTCTGAGCAAGTGAACTTTCAGACTTCATCTGCTCAAACACCATGACGACACCATGATGACAGTTTGTTGGCAACACGCTTGGCCTCAGATTGTACTTTTATTGGTCCTTGTGCTTTCCAAACATCGAACTCCTCTCCTTCACACAAGCGCAACTTCGCTTGAACTCGTCTTTCCGATGGCTTTCCAGCCGCAGCTTATCAGCACATTTAAAAAGGACCAACTCGGAATCATCTGTGTAATTCCGAACGTGAAGACCCACTTTAGACTTTGTTAGCTTATCTGAGCCCTAGGACACGCCACGCCCGCATTTCGCATACTCTGAGCATTCCTTATTGTGCACACGAAAGCCACGAAATTCGGGAAAGCTGTACATATGTGCTGATATAGGCGAAGTATAAGTAGGAGAAGGAGGGTCATGTCCCATCTTGCATGATGAGTTTAGCAAAAGTGATGACTCGCTGATCTTGGCTGTGCCACCGCCGGTCCTCTACCTGCACTGACTTCTTCAGTACCTGACTATCCTGATCGTTCATTTTTCTTTCATCAAACAGTCATCAAACACAATGCGGTTCTTTCTACCGTATCTTCCACTATTTACTCAGAAATGGCCTCATACGTATCCCCCTGGGAGATTAAGTCTTGGCAATCAACAACGGTAATCACAAGAATGAATGAGGGATTTCTCATGTCGTTTACTGTAATGTCTGTAGGCCTAATGAGGCTGAATATATTGTCTCGTCTCCAGTTTATCGCAAATTTCAGCATTGGTATAAGCGAACAGGCAATCTCTGTGAGACCCTCGAACATCAGTTGTTCTTTGAAAAAAAATAGATCTTCAGCATTGAAAGAGCGCATGCACGTACGGTAGAGGTAATGAAGTTCTAAAAATTGAGGTCTTTAGGAAGCTCATATTTCTATTGTAGAGCTATATTCTCCCACATGGAACCATCGACGTTTCTACTCATCATGGATAGGAACTGCTTGTCATCAGTGGTCTTAAGTTCCCCTACCGATTTTACCATTGGTTTTGGCACCATTGGATGTCAAAGTTGATATTCCCAGATCACATAGAGCATGGAAAACGGGATAACATCAGTTCTATTTAATAACTTCTTGAGAAGATTATTATAATATTTTGCTAGAGAAAGTGGATGAATGATGAAAAAGATCCACCATCTCTCTGCTTGGAGCTGACCATAAAGTACCTTATACGTGCCATGTCCAATTCCTCCACCAAATACGACATATCAGCATTTTCTACCGAATTGCTCCATGTGGTGGTTTCAAATTCAGACGATTTCTGCTTAAATACTTTTTGTACTTTCTACGGAGGAATTGTCAAAGAGAGACGAAACCTGCTACCCAATATTACTTAGTCTCTTCTTACTCACAAGTTGTTGTCCATAGCCTTTCCTGATTTGAGAACACTTGCAAAGAAAGAAGATCGCACTCTGTACTGTACTGGCGTTGTGCAACGGGATAGCATTTACCGCTGCACAAGCCAATACATTCCAGATTGCGATCCCATTATCCTATACCCTTCTTCTCCTTTTCCACCCGACTTCAAATCAACTATTTTTCCGAACTGCCATAATATTTCCCTGAGTTCAACCCATTAGTTGGAATAAGTCGGAGTCGCGCAAAAGTGCGATGGGATGTATTGGAACAGAAGCGAAGCAAAAGCCGCTTTTAGCTGTAGGGATGGATGGGACATGGTAGGATGGAGCCTGTACATTATGTGTTCTCAGCTCGAGGAAACGAGAAAGACTTCCCCAGCATTCCGTGAGTTGATACCGTAACCCTGGAAGTTTTACGAAAGCGAACCCGCCGATCAAAACATCAGCCAATCAAGTTGTTGTCAATCACGTTCCCATAAAATAAAATTATGGGCTATGATACAGCGAAGGCGGAAAGGGGGCGGAGGAAGGAGAGGTACAGCACAATAACGGCTGGTCCAGAATTCAGTACAACCCTCCAGGTGTCAGCTCCTCGTGAGCCTCTCTCTTTCTTTGATCCTACCTTTGACTGCACTGGACTTCAGGTAAGGGATAAGACCGCTTCTGCCTCGCCTGAACTCCTACTTCCCGGTCAATGACACAAAGACCTGCCTGGACCTCCTGTCTTTGCCAAGTTCTCTCATTCAAATTTTTCTCTTAGCACATCCATCCACCCATTTTCATCCTTCTCGTAATTCTTAAGCTTTTTCAAACTGGCTAACTACTGTTCCGTTGTTCTACGTACTTATTTTAACAGTTAAATGAAGGAAAGACAAAATTTCAGCCACCAGTTCACTATGGACAACAATACTGATACTAACGATACATTTGAAGCCACTACTGCTATTGAACTACTATTGCCAGCATCTCAAGAAATACGTTATCTGATGGCATTCACGTACCTGATACTGTCGATAATTGGCGTTATTCCAAATATAATTCTTGCTGTGACGTTGATCAGGGTGAGTTATGGGTTTGATTTTAGAGCAACTGAAAAAAAAANAAAAAAAAACCTTGGAAGCAGTTCGATAGAATAAACGATAGGTAGCAAGGATAAAGAGGTTGCTTGCATGTAAGGTATTGGAATTGACTGCTCAAGCCGTCATCGTTCCAGCGCCTACACAGGAGATTCCCCCTTATGTAAAACTGCTTTGTATCTTTCAGATCGGCACGATGCCAAAACAGAAAGTGTTCGTCTTGCTGGCGGAACAGATTCTCATCAGCGACTTCTGTCAGCTATCTTCACAACTGATAGTTGCATTTCCACTGTCCCTCTTTGGCAAAAATGTAAGTTTCGCCGATTTGTTGACTGATAAAAACGGTCAATAAGTTATCGATTCAGATCTACGAGGGGACCCCTGCTATATGGGTCTACAACGTGATAAATTTCCTCGACACCGTTGGATATAATGGTGTTCTTGACTTCACTTTTTTGATGGCCGTCAATCGTTTGACCGTCTTTCTAATGCCCGGCGTCCATCATTTTCTCTTCGATCCCGACCACATCAAAAGGTTTGTCTCCTGTATAATCGATACCAATCAATAACAATAATCTAACTTGCCGGATTCAGGACAATCATCTTTGTCTGGAGTTTCCTGCTTATGCAGATTACAGTCGAGTACTGTATGAGATGTCATAAACAGTTCACCTACGACGAATTCTACTTCTACTTTTTATGCGTGGATCCGAGTGCGCTCTATGTTGTCATATGGCTTGGTGTAAGTTTAATTAGAACCATTTTGATACATCCCAAATAAAGCTAGCGGCGATTTAACTAAGGGTGTGACAATAGGTCAATTTCGGTCATTAACGTGAATCGAGGGTGCGCATACCGGACGGGAAGGAAGAAATAGACATCTTCAATGGGTTTTTGCCGCAAAAATCGGATCCAGGGCCTCCTGATAAAGCGGAAAAGCGGAATTCTGTTAGGTCCCGATATGTGCGACAGGTCTCTATGATGTTCTTTTATTAAAGAGGATCATAGAACATCCTGAGGACCGTCCCAGTGACGGTAGCATACATCGGAACCCAATAGCAGTCTGCGACTTCCTCTCCTCCAGCCTTCATAAGTTCTTTACAACTTTTCTGGTTAATCGCCGATAGTCAGCTTCACTAGCTCTGTAAGTTTTAAATCGAACAACTAATTCCATTACTTTCAGACGATGCGATATCAAAGCTACTCGTTCCCCATTATAATGTTCGTCACCTATATAGTGCTCTTCTGTTATATAAAAATGAAGTTACAAAATACAGGAGGTGGAAAACCTAAGAATTCCTCTCAACGTCAACGGAAGTACGAAATCAATCTAGTCCTGCAGGTACTTTTTTTACGACTGCTAGAAAATTGTCAAGGCGCACGAGAAGTATGCCACAGCTGCTTTGAGCCGAGCGATGATGGACCGTTGCCCTCTGAAGACCAAGATTTTCCTGTGAAATGGACTATTTTCCTTAGTCGTTTTTTTCAAATCGAATACGAGCAAAATGATGTAGAATGAGCCGATACGTGTCAGGGGTACTTCACGCCCACTGCCAAAATGGGATCATTACCCGCAGCCAATGTGTTGAGACCCATTACCCGCACGATCACATCGAATGGGGACTTCTGGTTCTTGATTGAACGATAAGTTCACGGTATTGGTCAAAAAGGGCAGAAAAAACTATGAAAGGAATAGCTGGTTTTCCTATCATCGGAGCCGGTACTGCACCATTATCCCTTGCTCAAGTTATCCAGTGCAGAATTGTGGAATCGCTTCTTTCAGAAGCGTGCCTTCGACTTCTTCCTAATTTTGCCGTACTTTCAGGCTGTCATCATCTCATTCTTCCTCGAGCTTCAAACGTTATCATTCACAGTGCTGCCGATGATTGGCACCGGAAACAACCGATTCTACTCAAGTCTTGGGCAAAACGTTATAAGCATCATGAACAACTCATCAAACCCCTATGTTTATTTCTTCTTTAATAGCCAGATTCGAGCAGGAATGGTGGCTTTAGTGCAATGTCAGTCGCCTAAACAGAAAGCTCAGGCCGCTGTCACCACTATTTCAACCGTGAAAGGGTGAAAATAAAATAAATCCAACTAACTATAATGAGATTCTTCGGAAATCGCAAATTTTCTGCGAAAGGAAAGCTCCTCGTGCAAAAATTTATCCACCCCGTTAAACGTCCGTTAATTCCCAGAGTCCTTCCGCATCAAGAAAGGCTTTGATCTCACATTCAACTATATACTCTTCCCACTTGGAGCCCCTACTCAAATTTTACATACCTCAAAATGCTTGGTGAAATTATCTACGTACCACTTGAAACCATCTGACAGCGCTGTATGCCAAAGTTGACGCAATCTGCAGAGTAGACGGCTGGTATGGACAGACCCACTGACTTCAAAGTCAGCTACATAACTGGAATTTCAACGAGTACCAGCTTGCGTCAACCATGACATGTTGCTGCAAACCATTATCATTCCGTTCATGCCACCTTCTACCTTCATTATTTCATGAACAATGAAAGCTATCTTTGAGATCGAAGTGAATCTCCACTAAATTTCAATTATTAAATCGTAATACTACGTTATTAATAAGAAAGTAAGCATTTGTATAATTTTCATGTATCTTCTTAAAGAGAGTTACTATGTCGTAGTGTACACATGTAGCAAATCATCAATGTCATGAGTATTGTTGTCGTTTTATCTCGATCTTACTGCAGCACAATAAACTTCTATGCATTCGATAAATACATCAACAGTATTGAAAAAAATTAAAAACAATTTTGTATCAAAGTCAGACTGTCTTACCTTTATTCGGGGAGCGGGACGGAATTTCCACAAGCTTTATTGACAGTTTCTATTCCGCAACATCGTTCGTTCTCAAAATGGGTATCCTCTAGTACCCTGAAATCATCAGCTCTGAAGCACTTGATTGAGAAAACGCTAGCGGTTGCAAATACTACAAAAGCCTACCTGAAAAGCTGTCGGTGTATACAACGTGTGACAACGATGCGTACAGCACTTGATAGTAAGTTTGAACTGTAACATACACTTAATACCACACAAGTTGATTGGAATGTACCCCTAGTGCCTGATGATGCAAGATCACTCGCGATCTGCAACAGCCTTTATAAACTTATATACTTATCGATGTCCTCATTGATGTCCACGGGAACAGGCCAATCAATAATATCTGCACGTTAGCGTGGAATTGAGGAAGCAGCAAATTGAAAACTTGAACATTGTTTCATTGGCTGCATTTATACTACCGACGTCGACGCCAGGCTATGAGTTAGCGTTGGCCGTCAATCGATATCCCTCAGGTATCGACTGATGTTAATTCAACGCCTTCTTAAGAGTTGGAGATGAAGAAAGTATGAGCTCGAAGAAGTAAATTTTGGCGTGAGTTTCATCACTGATCATCGATCATGAAAGAGGAGAGTTAAAAATCGTTGGCGTCATTGATTAGCATTATGGTTGGAAAGAGACACAGAATCATTCTGCTAAAACCGAATTATCCAACAGGAACTACTGAGCAAAGAATGCAAAACCTATAATATGATCAGCTAATATGCTAAAACAGTGAGGAAATACAAAAAACACTCATTTCTAACGCACCAAAGTCATTGAACGCAACAACAAGCATAGGTCTGCGGGATATCGATTGACGTCTGACGCCGGCGTTTTTAGCCGACGCCTACGTTGATATCGATAGTATGAACGCAACCAGAGGCCATGTGCCCAGTGTCCCTCATTCTTTATGCTTGAAAGCCTAAAGAATGTGGGACAGGCTTACTTTACTCAAGGCTTATTCTTATTCATCGAAACATAAGAAATGAGACGTTACCACTGAGGGTCAACATTTCAACCTAGTTTCCCATAGCTAATATTTCACAAAATTCGCTTTCCATGCTGTTGTGAAACTTAGAATTACGATCGATACCAATAACAATAGCTCACAAAACTTTTTACGCAATAAAAAACACTTCATGACTTTAAGCCGTTTTCCAAGTGGAAAAGAATTAAGCTGATGAATTCAGGAAACCGTAGCTAGGTATGCGGAAAAACGTTTTCTTCTATTTCCGCCACTTCTGCGAACTCCATTAAAACCCCTTGGAAAAAGGGCTCGCTGCAAGCATGAATTTGCAGCTCAACGTGCATACAAGGCATTGAATCTCACTACCATTATCTACACATTCACCAGAATGCTCGCTCAACCGAATGCAAAAAAAGTGGCTCAAGTAAATTATTCTGCAGAATCGTAAAAACTATCTATGAAAAAAGCTCTTTTCTACAAAGAATTGAACGCCAGGATCGTATGGTCATGACCATAGCTTAATCGAAGGCGGACAAACTATATACAAGTATATAGCTTCATTCAATGTTACTTATTTGAAATTTAAGTGAGATTGTATTTCGCAGTATAAAATGCCACCAAAGCTCTCGTAGTATTGGCAAATATGTAAAAGTACTCAAAAGGCTGCCGAGTTATGTACAAAACTTTGGCTTCGGACGGGACTCGAACTCGTACTTGTGGCTGGATAGCACCAGTACGGGTTCGAGTGCCGTCCGAGGCCAAAGTTTTGTCCATAGCACGCCAACCCTGACAGACTTTCGCATCGCGTACTGCGGCAATATAACAGCATTAACAAAACATCAAGTCAAAACAAATATAAAAAGTACATTCTTTTTTTTTTNNTTTTTTTTTCGAAACCTCAAAACATATCCGTTACCATAAATGAAACAACAATCATCAGAAACAAAAAGAGATTCTTAATCATCACAATGACTTTGTTCCTTTGGATACAAATATTTTCGATTGATTATTCTTCCGACAGATTCAATAGCTCTTCGAAGATGGCTCTTTTGGCAAGGGCCCGCTCGAGACCACGCCGTTTTGCAGCCTGAAATCGAACAGAGACCATAGATAGTCATAAAAAACACCTATTACTCAAACCCTTTCGACCGATCTCAAAAGCTCCGAACTATTACGCCAACAGCAGGCTTGAGTTCAGGTACCCCTACCAAACTAGGCTTTACCGCTGTATGATTTGATTCCGTTTTCCTTGTGGTAGAGAACGTAAGCCTTCACATTGAAATTTTTCCGATTTACGAAAGCATCGGCAATGTTTCGCTTTTTCAGTAGCCCAAATACTCCGAACTAGCACCTCGCCCTAGATATGAGCTATCATGATTGGAGGCTGGAGGGAGGCACCTCACGTCCAACCCGAGATGGTAACTCGGGAGTCCAAGAAGCAGCACCCCCACGTTCCCTGTAATCCTTGCCTACGTCAAGTACTCTGATACCTGTGTGTCCGCTCAGTCTACCTGGCGTGAGTGATTGATACGTAATACCTCGAATATAACAAAAATTGAGCACATGATCCTTCCAATATTGATTAAAAAGTATTCTAACCACATCAATAAAGCGTAGCAACGATTGGTTCTTTTTTTGTTGCGTGCGTCGCCTTTTGAGTTTTGGATTGGTCGATACA